CCGTTGCGTATATTAGCTGCGACACATGAATCAAGATGCTATGACCGAAAACATTTGATTGACAGATGACCGTTGATATATGATTGGCCGAATTTAGGTGTTCAGGCTGACGTAGAACTAACTGGCCTGCAGAAGATAACGGAAAAACACAGATTTTAAGACAGGATTTATTTAAAAAATAGAAATTTTCTAACTTTTGGGACAATATCATCTGATAAAGAGAACATTTATATCCATGTTTAGGCCAGAATGATTTGACATTTAAATATGATTTCCCTACGACTGTAAGGTTGTTTTTTCTTTCTTAACATAGATGCTTCCTTCCTCTCTAACCACCTGTCTTCTTTCTCCAAAATGTGAACATTCTGGTCCTCCAAAGAATGTCCTTTGTCCATCAGGTGTAGATGTCCCGCAGAGTCTTGTCCCGACGTCTTCAAACTTTCAAACAAAGTACAGAGGATTTTTCTTTTAAACTTTTTTAGGAATGACTATGACCAGGATGACTGAGAATCTTCTCTTCAACTTAAAAATGTTTTCCTGTTTTCTCATTATGGGATATAAGGAGTCGATTTTCCAGCACTAATTGGGAAAAAAAGCTGCAGGTTCGTTAAATATTTTGTTGTTTTTCCAGCTAAATAAAGTTTATTTATGGAGATCCTTTCACAGATAAAACAACCGCAAATTTCTGTACAGGAAAATAATAAAACAATTTAAAGAAAGATTAAATGAAAATGTATATTTTTTTTAATGTTTCTTAAAGAGTTTCCCTCATTGAGCTTTTTTTCCTGGTAAATGAAGATCTGCTGATTAAATAAAAATCAAATTGATTCTCCTGATCCCCCCCCCAGGCTCCATGGGAAGCGTCTCTGGAGCCACGGGGATTTTTTTTTTTTCCAAACCTCTTTCTGGTTTAGTTTCCTTCTTATTGGATCCTCTGTTACTCTGAGGACATGAAGGAAAGTCTTCTGGTAAACAATCAGTTGCGAGCTGCTCTGTGCTGCGCCAAACCTTTTCTCATGCTCCAACCGTGGCCTTCTTCCCAAATCAAACAGGAAGTTTGGGGTTAGCCTATCAGAAGAGGTCAGGCAGAAAGTGGGGGGGGGGGGCTGCGTCACCCAGGAGGAATGCTAAAGGACAGGGAGCAAGCGGAGCCCATGGGAGCAGCTTTCTCAGCACCGGCCTATTTTAGGAGCCTTTATTTTCTGACTGGAGCTGAAAAACTAAAAATACTTCTAAATGAATTCTTTGCTTTAAAGCTTTGCTCCTAGAAAAAAGCTCTGAGCTGCAGGAGAAACTCACAGAGCGGCAGCTCGGGTGTTCAACAGGAAAGGAAGCAATAAAAATGTTTTATAAACAAAGACAAAACAAAACTACATCTGGTTCAAACCGGATGATCATAAATTTATGGACATAATTAACATCAGATATCTGTGAGGCAACATGAGGTGGTTTCCTGCCGTCACCTCGAAACATGAGACACGTCAGATGGTTCATCTGTGGGAAAACAGGGTTAGAGGTTACAGCCCCTCATTCTACCAGCTGGAGGCGCTATTGCACCCGAAGGCTGTGTTCTAACGCCTGAGTAAGTCACCCGGCTATGTTTGTGCAGCAAAAAAAAATTTCATTTGCTCTCCTTTCATTCTAAAGATAAAAGAAAAATGTTCTCCAGGGGTCATCAGAGGTCAACCACTCCCCTGGTCCCGCCCTGCTCACACTTACATGCTGCCAATCAACTGTGCTGCTTTTGTGTCGCTATCATTTTTTTCCAGGTTGAAATTAAATGATTCATATTTTCAGGTTAGCAACTTATAATTTATATGAAATTCACAGTTTCAGCGTGAACAGACGTTCGCTGACCTTTGATGACCTCTACAAACTATTATTGTCAATAAAATGATAGCAGAACAAATTAACATTTTTGCTATAAAAAATTAATTTTAAAATGCATATTTCAAAATATAAAACATTTTTGTCCTGCTATCATTTAAATGGTCTGTAGAGGTCATCAAAGGTCAGTGAATATTATATTACCGTTGTTCGGCCGACAAATGCAGCTTTTAGCCCGTTTTGAAGGACTAGCCTTCGGTATCCCATGATTCATTGCGGGTCCAAGCAAGCTGGTGTTCTGTCAGATGAGTATACCCCATCAGACCAGCATACCTATACTCTATACGCAAGACGTCAGATTTGCATTTATTTCTTTACTTTTGTGAGAAAAATAGATTTTAAAGTACCTCAACGCCTGAGTATCCCTTTAGTCATGTATAAAAAAACTATTTACGGTCAGATCGCCACACGCTTCAAAAAATACCAAAGAGGAAGTAATTAAATTGTTTTTTGTACATGACTAAAGGGACCTGGACCTGGTCTATCTCCTGGACCTGGTTTATCTCCTGGACCCGGTCTATCTCCTGGACCCGGTCTACCTGGACCCGGTCTATCTCCTGGACCCGGTCTACCTGGACCCGGTCTATCTGGACCTGGTCTATCTCCTGGACTCGGTCTACCTGGACCCGGTCTATCTCCTGGACTCGGTCTACCTGGACCTGGTTTATCTCCTGGACCCGGTCTACCTGGACCCGGTCTATCTCCTGGACCCGGTCTACCTGGACCCGGTCTATCTCCTGGACCCGGTCTACCTGGACCCGGTCTATCTGGACCTGGTCTATCTCCTGGACTCGGTCTACCTGGACCCGGTCTATCTCCTGGACTCGGTCTACCTGGACCTGGTTTATCTCCTGGACCCGGTCTACCTGGACCCGGTCTATCTCCTGGACCCGGTCTACCTGGACCCGGTCTATCTCCTGGACCCGGTCTACCTGGACCCGGTCTATCTGGACCTGGTCTATCTCCTGGACTCGGTCTACCTGGACCCGGTCTATCTCCTGGACTCGGTCTACCTGGACCCGGTCTATCTCCTGGACTCGGTCTACCTGGACCCGGTCTATCTCCTGGACCCGGTCTATCTCCTGGACCCGGTCTATCTCCTGGACCCGGTCTACCTGGACCCGGTCTATCTGGACCTGGTCTATCTCCTGGACTCGGTCTACCTGGACCCGGTCTACCTGGACCCGGTCTATCTCCTGGACTCGGTCTATCTCCTGGACCCGGTCTACCTGGACCTAGTCTACCTCCTGGACTCGGTCTACCTGGACCCGGTCTATCTCCTGGACCCGGTCTATCTCCTGGACAGGGTCTACATGGACCCGGTCTTCCTGGACCCGGTCTACCTCCTGGACTCTGTCTACCTGGACCCGGTCTACCTCCTGGACTCGGTCTACCTGGACCCGGTCTACCTCCTGGACTCGGTCTACCTGGACCAGGTCTATCTCCTGGACCCGGTCCAGTCCCAGTTAACCCATTAAGTCCGTCCATAGAGGGAGTTCACTGAAGGGCTCCAGTTTTCAGAGAACCGGGTCGGTACTTGGGCTCCACTTCAAGGGTTGGGGGGGGGGGGGGCAAAAGAAAAAGAAAATATTTGTCCCGCTACATTATAAATGATCATATAATAAAATCCATCAGTAAAATAAACAATCTTTATGTTTTCCCTCATTTCTCAGCAGGACGCAGTGCAACAAAGCAGGAATATATTGACCCCCGTCAAACTGCACTAAATGGTTTGGTCCTCAGGTCCTGCATCGCATCAGGTCTCCCAGTCTGTCGCTGGCAGGTCGCTCGCACCCCGACCCTTTAATGTCACACTAACGTCATTCAGCGTCGTGATAAAGAAACAAGTTGACTAGAAAATGTGTAAATAAGCAGCAGGGCGATAAAAATCAACGCCCCAATGAAGGACCAGCAGGTTCTGCAACAGCTTCTTACCCACCGCCATCAGAATGATGAATGTAGTAAAAATGGGGTTTAAAAAAAAAAAAAGCGCTGAATGTTTCAAATTAAATCATATCTCAGTCTTATGTTTACATTTCAGTCTAATCCATCATCTGCTTCATCATCCAGGAGATCTTTCTCTTCTCTCTTCTTGGAGAAATAAACTCATCGACGGCCGACAGCTTCCTTCAACCGAACAGCTGAAAACAGAAGCTCTTCTGGTTGGAACATCGACTGCTACCGTATGTCATGTTTTAACTCTAAGCACTTTAAGGGTGCTTTATAAAAGAAATGTATTATTATCAATATTATTACGGTACCTGTGTGGTGTGAAACACAAATATTGAGAAAACCACAGAAAAAGCACCACAGCCAGATATATAAAAAGATTTATTTACAAATGTCCCACAAAAGATTGTCCTATCGAAATGCTGGTCAGCAGTCCCAAAACTAGAACTGTGCAAAAACAATTCAGGCAGCATAAAAGCCGCGCGTCTCTAAACTCCATCAGCAAAATAGATCTGATTACAAAACAAAGTCCTCTTTGAAAATACATCAACGTTTCCAGACAGTCTGAGGGAAAATGAAGCGACTTCCTGTCAGAACAGGAGGCCTGATTTCCAAGGAAGTTGGTGTCTGTTTGGAAGTCATTCACTTCCAAACAGAAGTAATCTGGGAATTCAGTCAATGCTGGGATTTATTTAGGACATTTTATTATTTAGCAACATTTTCTGTTTGCTCTGAATCTGCAGGTTTACTAGTGGTTCCTAGAATCTCTAAAAGTAGAATGGGAGGTAGATCTTTTAGTTCTCAGGCTCCTCTCCTGAGGAACCAACTACCAGTTTTAGTCCGTGAGGCAGACACCCTGTCTACTTTTAAGGCTAGGCTTAAAACTTTCCTTTTTGATAAAGCTTCTAGTTAGAGTGGCTCAGGTTATCCTGAGCTATCTCTATAGTTCTGCTGCTATAGGCTTAGACTGCTGGAGGACATAGGGACCCCTTTTTCATCATTCTGCTTCATTTCAACCATACATGATTAGATTCCTGTTGATGCTTCCACCCTGTTTATTATTTTGTTAAAAATATTTAGAGCTCAGGTTTTTTTTGTACCATCAAACCTTAAACTGTTTCCCAAACGCTCTAAACTTTGAAGTTTAGATTTCTTTACAATTACTTATGTTTTGTTCCTTTCCTCGTCTCTTTTCCATCAGAGTTGACCTTGAGGGAGGATTTTCCAGTCAGACGCTCCCTTTGATTGCTACAATCAAATATTTTCTAAATATTTTTGTTTAAGGACTGACTTCTCCAACTATTACCTGACCTTAAACTAGGTGACCTGTGTTTTAATTGGCCTGACCACCTGTTCAGCTATACGATTAGCTAGGTTTGCTATAAGTAATCAGAGTAAATAGCCAATCAGACTTAAAACCATCACGGGGAAATGTCAGATTGATTGTTTCCATACGATTTTGGCAGGATTTTTTGGGGGGGATGATGGGTTATAGTGACCATAAAAAACGCTGGAATCTGATCCTCTCTTGTTTTTTAATCAGAATACATTTCAATCTGACTAAGATGTCAGTGTGACCATCGTTAGCATCAGTCGTTAACTTCTAACTTTTGTCTGGATTAAACTGGATGTTTAATGGTTTAGTCTAACACTACAGACCTCTAGTTCACATGGAAGGTCTATGGATGATGGCCTTGAATTGGTCTAGCGGCACGAATCGAATGTCAGGAGCAGGAAGTCTTGCAGTATTTCTAGATCAACGCGTTATGAGCGTGCCGTTGTCATTGGACGCTGAAATTGGGGAAACTGAACTATTGCAGTTGGACGCTGAGTATCAACAATCAGAGAAGCTGATCCAGCAGCTGTCTGGGAGAGAGATACTACTGTCAGGTTTATCAATGATGATTATAAAGTGTGTGCATATGGAACATTGGAGAAATAAGACGCTTCACTCTGTTTACTGCAAACTGTCATGCAACGGTGGTAGAAAACTGCTGATGTTTGTTCACGGCTAATCACAGTTATCAGGAGACCACTCTGTTCTGTGATTCAATCAGAGGAGCATTCTGTCCTGTGACCTGATCAATCGCCTTGTCAGAAGAACACACTGTTCTGTAACCCACCCCATGTGTTATGATCTGCTAATAAAAAGGCTCCTGCTGAGGAAGCCCATCAGAGAGTAGATGTAGCTGAACGTAGCTCTCTCCTTCTGCAGAAGCTGTTAAAAATCCCTCTTCTGTGTGGACTCAGTTTCTCTTTTATGAACGTAACAACTACATGCAGGCGATGGTCTCTGCAGGCATCACACAGCTGGGAATAACCAGCACTGCTCCTGCTGTTGTGCAGAGCTCTGCCGCTGTCACCGACTCCACTGAAACATTTTTGAGCTCCTTTTTTTTCTCCTTATCAAAGCAATTAAAGCCAAGCTACCCTCCGGAATCCAAGGAGGAGAACAGAGCAGCTCCACGTCCTAGTTTACCAACGACGCCTTTTTACGCTCAAATAGTTTTTGGTTTTAACGCAAGATTATAATTAATCTGCTTAGTTCGCTTTTCTAGATGAAACTACAGCAAACAAAAATCAGCGCTTGCGTCTTTCTTTTGCGTTTCTGCCCAAAACCCCCCAATCAGAGGCAGGATGCTGCACCCACTGAGCCTGGTTCTGGTTCCTCCCCACCGTCGCTGCATGCTTGGTTTGAGGGACTGCTTTAAACGACACGATGCAGCCGAACACATTCTCATCCAGGAGGCGAGACCGGATGCAGATTCCTTAGCTGGAAAACTTAAGTAGGGATGTGAAGTGGTGAAAATCTGGCGATACGATACGCATCACAGTACATGTGTCACAGTGTGATTTCTATCATAAAAAGTTCTGGAAAACCTCCCTGGATCTAACAGCAGGTGGTGGAGCAGCTGAATAACAGAGTCCTGCTGCGCTGATATTAAAGAGAGACGATAAACGGATGTTAACCTGTAAATATTAAAGGCAGCGGCGTAGAGAACCGGCTCACCGTGGGGCCCTTGGCATCCATAAGATCGCACCACAGGCAGCGATCAGCGGCTAACATGGCCTCGGTAAATCGTTCCCCGATGAACGGTTTGTATTAAAATTAAAATCTGGAATAAAATGAAAACTGTAGATAAATTAGTTGATTGATTAACTGAAATATTTACATTTAAGGTTAATTAGGAATCCACGCCATCATGTGATGAATTAACACCGTATCTGACAGAATCAATTGCTTTTAACCAATCCGGATGATCTGACTGGATCATCTCTGTGCAGTTCTATGTGGATTAGCTCTACGTAAACAACTAGTTTAGGTTCTGTAGGAAACTAGCATTCCCTGCTTTTAGCTGCCTTTGCTGCTTCAATGTTTGCTAACTCCGATGTTTTCTCCTTTAAACTCGTCTCTCAATCAAAACAGCAGAAAAGTTGGTTTGGAAAAATAAACTGAAAAGATTAATGGTAACATAAACAATCACTTTAAAGAGGAAAACGGCAAAAAGCAAATTCTGAGCAGCACAAAGTGTCAGAGAAGCTTCAGCATAAAGTAAAGAAATAAATCTGAGATGATAAACTGTTTGTGCAGAAAGTTAAACAGCTTAACGATCTAAAATAACTCAAAGAGTTCTAATCCAATCATGTTCAAGAACTTTAAAGATCATTTGTTGGGTTTAGGAAACACTGTGCAACCTTTGACCACTAGGGGGCGCTAGCCTTGTTACTTCAATGTTTAGCAAAGCTTTGTCTCTAAATGAGCCAGTCTGTGTTCTGGTTCTGGTATCAGACCGGTTTGGACCGGTTCCTGCTAAAGACGAGGAAACATTCAGCCTCTGGATTAAAGCTATGGCGTCACATTTATTTCAAAAAACGCATATGTTAAATTACACATGGTTTATCTACCACCGCACAACAAAATCGCAAATGAGCAGGAAACTGCCACACCCTCTCCGCGCGCGGCGGCTCCTCCCACGCATGCACCATTTTCTATCCCGCGGTCACGCTGCAAGTTTTGCTAAGTTGGGCGGAGACAAACATCTTCTGTAAGCCTCCTCCTGATTGGGCCTTGCAGACACGATCAAGTAGTGTCAGGAAGCCCATGAACGACGCTAGCCACTGACCACACGTAGCGCAAACGTTACCCGCCTCCAGCCGTCGTCTTCCCTTATGGATAACGAGCTGTCAGTCAAAGGCTTCGTGACACTACTTCCCGTGTGATCGTGCCTGCAAGGCCCGAGCGCCATCCCGAGTGGGAGGAGCTAGCGCGCGCGGAGAACGATTTTCTCAGCAGTTTCTCACACGTTTGATTTCAGTGGTAGATAAACAAAGCGCAGAAGTAGTTTAACATACAAGCCAGTATGTTTATTTTGCTCGCAGCCATTTTTGGACCAAATGTGACGCCATAGTATTCCTCCATCAGAGCTAACAGCTGTTAGCATAGCTAGCTCTGGTGTTACAGACTGCTCTGGGTCACATGACCCAATCAGAGAAGAGCAGCTCAGAGGAGCAGGAGGTGAAGGATCAGTCTCAGGTCAATGCTGGGGTCAAAGGTCATAGAGACAATAGCATTACAGAGATATTAAAATGGCTTCCTCACTCTGATCTGGGAAGAAACTTATTTTTGTCTTTTATAAGCTGTAAAGGATAAATGATCATTTATTGCCATGTGGTTGTAGTCATACCAAAAACCTCTGATTAAGAAAATAAAAAAGCTAAAATGAATCATCTGACAGGAAGTTTTGCCTCCAGAGCGGCGACAGCTTCCTGCCGCATCGCCGTGGTTCAGTCTGAGGGATAAACGGCTTCATCGCAGCCGGAAACATCCCAGCATTAAACTTCCTTCACGTCTCCAGCAGACGAGGAATCTGATTGGTTCACAGAGCTAAAAGATGCAGAATAAAAACACTAGAAGAAGAAAAAAAATGATCCACATAAAAGTTTTTACCGGTTTTGATTCAGTGGAACCAAATAAAAACATTAAACCAAGTTTTTTTTCTCTATTTTTTAAAGGATAAATGTAAAGAAAAAGACTCTGACATGAAGATGGTTTCCGTCCATAAAGTCGGCGAGTCGCCCTTCAAACAGGACGGACTCGTTTCACCATAAATAAGAAGATGTTTGATCATCAGAAGGTCAGGAGGAGCAGAGGGAGCTGGAGGAGGAGGCGAGGCTACAGACCGGAGTAGGGAAGCCGTAGAAGGACGGGTCGGTTAACGGGAAGAGCAACAGGAAGAAGAGCACCACTCCCAGCAGGTAGGAGGATAGGATGATGAGGCGGCGCGGGTGCTCCAGGGCGCTGCTGATGGCCGGGAAACCCATGTAGTTACAGAAGGAGTGGCACAGAACCGGTCCAATCAGGTGGCCTGAAGGGCGGGGAGAAAACAAACTTCATTCTAATCAAACTGCAGCGATTTCATGCTTCAATAAGAATCATTTCCAAGCGTCTCTGAGCTCCGCTCTGATTGGAGGGATCAGGAAAAAAAAACATTATCTAATTTATTATTTTCTGCATTAAATGTCTGCTTCTGTCTCCTTGAACCCCAGTGGGCCTCAGCAGATGGCCGCTCACACTGAGCCTGGTTCTGCTGGAGGTTTCTTCCTGTTCAAAGGGAGTTTTTCCTCTCCACTGTCGCTACAAGCATGCTTAGTGTGAGGGATTGCTGAAGAGTCAATGAGTCGATGCAATCAGCTGGTTTTCCTTAGATAGAAAACTTTGAATCAATCTGACTGGATGATCTGGTTGAATTGTCTCTATAAAGTGACCTGAGATGACATGATGTGAATTGGAGCTATAGAAAAAACTGAATTTAATACTAAGGCGAGGCTAAATGCGTGCAGCAAGGCTAACTGCGTGCAGCGAGGCTAACTGCGTGCAGCGAGGCTAAATGCGTGCAGCGAGGCTAAATGCGTGCAGCGAGGCTAAATGCGTGCAGCGAGGCTAACTGCATGCAGCGAGGCTAACAGCGTGCAGCGAGGCTAACAGCGTGCAGCGAGGCTAACTGCGTGCAGCGAGGCTAACTGCGTGCAGCGAGTCTAAATGCGTGCAGTGAGGCTAAATGCGTGCAGCGAGGCTAACTGCTTGCAGCGAGGCTAACTGCTTGCAGCGAGGCTAACTGGATGCAGCGAGGCTAACTGCTTGCAGCGAGGCTAACTGGATGCAGCGAGGCTAAGGCTTTATCCTGCTTTCCCTGCCTCCTTTTAAAAGGTCAGGATCTGAGCCAGCATGGATAAAGACAGCTAGGACTGATTTAAAACACTGTAGAAAAGGCAAAGAAGAATGAACAATCTTGGATTCACATGGAAAATATAGAATGTAGACTACTTTTTCTAGATGTTTGTTCATTTGCACAGTTGCTCCTAAATAAACACATTCTCTGAAAATAAAGTTTTTTTATATTAAAAATATAAAGCTGACTAATAGCTTCTCCTTTATTAAACTTGGACCATGAAAAACAGATTTACCTTCTGAAAGCCTCAGAAGGGCAGGATTTATAAAGAAAAAGTAAACCTGGACATGAAATTATGTTTTTATAAAGTGTTTTATAATGTTTTGTGTTGTTGGCTTTCATATAAATATACTGCTGTGATAACTTAGTATACATTTGATTGATTTTTGGTCTACATGTATTTTGAATTGATAGGATCTGAATTCAGTAGATGTGTTCCTGCTGCGTTAATAACGGAGCAGAGTTCACTCCATAGAGGATCGCAGTGTTTAATTCAGGAAGAAGCGTAGAATAACAGAAAGCTCACCGGTTCTGATGAAGATGAAGGCCGTGTAAGCTCCAAAAACCGCCGTGTAGGAGAACTGAAAGACTGCAGCAGAGCAGAGAGGTAAACATTGCATCACAACCATGAGCAGAGCGCTTTAGAGGACATGAAGGGCAGGAAGGCCGCGGTCACCTGCAGAGAGGAGGATCCCCGACAGCGTGGCCTGCCTGAACCGCAGCAGCTCGATGACGTGGTGGAAGTGAGCTGAAACAAACGGAGCAGCGTTTCAGTCCACAGAGAAACACCCGGAGCAAATATGAAAACCGCGTTCATTTAGCAGGAACCTGGACCTGCCGGCGGCCTTTACTGCCGGCGGCCATTACTGCCGGAGGCCATTACTGCCGGAGGCATTCCTGCCGGAGGCCACTACTGCCGGCGGCCTTTACTGCCGGCGGCCATTACTGCCGGAGGCATTCCTGCCGGAGGCCACTACTGCCGGCGGCCGTTACTGCCGGAGGCCATTACTGCCGGCGGCCATTACTGCCGGCGGCCATTACTGCCGGAGGCATTCCTGCCGGAGGCCACTACTGCCGGCGGCCGTTACTGCCGGAGGCCATTACTGCCGGAGGCCATTACTACCGGCGGCCTTTACTGCCGGCGGCCATTACTGCCGGAGGCATTCCTGCCGGAGGTCACTACTGCCGGCGGCCTTTACTGCCGGCGGCCATTACTGCCGGAGGCCACTACTGCCGGAGGCCACTACTGCCGGCGGCCGTTACTGCCGGAGGCCATTACTGCCGGCGGCCATTACTGCCGGCGGCCATTACTGCCGGAGGCATTCCTGCCGGAGGCCACTACTGCCGGCGGCCGTTACTGCCGGAGGCCATTACTGCCGGAGGCCATTACTGCCGGCGGCCTTTACTGCCGGCGGCCATTACTGCCGGAGGCATTCCTGCCGGAGGCCACTACTGCCGGCGGCCGTTACTGCCGGAGGCCATTACTGCCGGCGGCCATTACTGCCGGCGGCCATTACTGCCGGAGGCATTCCTGCCGGAGGCCACTACTGCCGGCGGCCGTTACTGCCGGAGGCCATTACTGCCGGAGGCCATTACTACCGGCGGCCTTTACTGCCGGCGGCCATTACTGCCGGAGGCATTCCTGCCGGAGGCCATTACTGCCGGAGGCCATTACTGCCGGAGGCCATTACTGCCGGAGGCCATTACTGCCGGAGGCATTCCTGCCGGAGGCCATTACTGCCGGAGGCCATTACTGCCGGAGGCATTCCTGCCGGAGGCCATTACTGCCGGAGGCCATTACTGCCGGAGGCCATTACTGCCGGAGGCATTCCTGCCGGAGGCCACTACTGCCGGCGGCCGTTACTGCCGGAGGCCATTACTGCCGGAGGCCATTACTACCGGCGGCCTTTACTGCCGGCGGCCATTACTGCCGGAGGCATTCCTGCCGGAGGCCACTACTGCCGGCGGCCTTTACTGCCGGCGGCCATTACTGCCGGAGGCATTCCTGCCGGAGGCCACTACTGCCGGCGGCCGTTACTGCCGGAGGCCATTACTGCCGGCGGCCATTACTGCCGGCGGCCATTACTGCCGGAGGCATTCCTGCCGGAGGCCACTACTGCCGGCGGCCTTTACTGCCGGCGGCCATTACTGCCGGAGGCATTCCTGCCGGAGGCCACTACTGCCGGCGGCCTTTACTGCCGGCGGCCATTACTGCCGGAGGCATTCCTGCCGGAGGCCACTACTGCCGACGGCCGTTACTGCCGGAGGCCATTACTGCCGGCGGCCATTACTGCCGGCGGCCATTACTGCCGGAGGCATTCCTGCCGGAGGCCACTACTGCCGGCGGCCGTTACTGCCGGAGGCCACTACTGCCGGAGGCCATTACTACCGGCGGCCTTTACTGCCGGCGGCCATTACTGCCGGAGGCATTCCTGCCGGAGGCCACTACTGCCGGCGGCCGTTACTGCCGGAGGCCATTACTACCGGCGGCCTTTACTGCCGGAGGCCATTACTGCCGGAGGCATTACTGCCGGCGGCCATTACTGCCGGAGGCATTACTGCCGGAGGCATTACTGCCGGCGGCCATTACTGCCGGAGGCCATTATTGCCGGAGGCATTACTGCCGGCGGCCATTACTGCCGGCGGCCATTACTGCCGGAGGCATTACTGCCGGAGGCCATTACTGCCGGAGGCATTACTGCCGGAGGCATTACTGCCGGAGGCATTACTGCCGGCGGCCATTACTGCCGGAGGCCATTACTGCCGGAGGCATTACTGCCGGAGGCATTACTGCCGGCGGCCATTACTGCCGGAGGCATTACTGCCGGCGGCCATTACTGCCGGAGGCATTACTGCCGGCGGCCATTACTGCCGGAGGCATTACTGCCGGAGGCATTACTGCCGGCGGCCATTACTGCCGGCGGCCATTACTGCCGGCGGCCATTACTGCCGGAGGCCATTACTGCCGGCGGCCACTACTGCCGGCGGCCATTACTGCCGGAGGCCATTACTGCCGGAGGCATTACTGCCGGCGGCCATTACTGCCGGAGGCATTACTGCCGGAGGCATTACTGCCGGCGGCCATTACTGCCGGAGGCCATTACTGCCGGAGGCATTACTGCCGGCGGCCATTACTGCCGGAGGCATTACTGCCGGCGGCCATTACTGCCGGAGGCATTACTGCCGGAGGCCATTACTGCCGGAGGCATTACTGCCGGAGGCATTACTGCCGGCGGCCATTACTGCCGGAGGCCATTACTGCCGGAGGCATTACTGCCGGCGGCCATTACTGCCGGAGGCATTACTGCCGGAGGCCATTACTGCCGGAGGCATTACTGCCGGAGGCATTACTGCCGGAGGCATTACTGCCGGCGGCCATTACTGCCGGAGGCCATTACTGCCGGAGGCATTACTGCCGGCGGCCATTACTGCCGGAGGCATTACTGCCGGAGGCATTACTGCCGGCGGCCATTACTGCCGGCGGCCATTACTGCCGGCGGCCATTACTGCCGGCGGCCATTACTGCCGGAGGCCATTACTGCCGGAGGCCATTACTGCCGGAGGCATTACTGCCGGCGGCCATTACTGCCGGAGGCATTACTGCCGGAGGCATTACTGCCGGCGGCCATTACTGCCGGAGGCCATTACTGCCGGAGGCATTACTGCCGGCGGCCATTACTGCCGGCGGCCTTTAATGCCGGAGGCCATTACTGCCGGAGGCATTACTGCCGGAGGCCATTACTGCCGGCGGCCTTTACTGCCGGCGGCCATTACTGCCGGCGGCCATTACTGCCGGAGGCCATTACTGCCGGCGGCCATTACTGCCAGAGGCCATTACTGCCGGCGGCCTTTACTGCCGGAGGCCATTACTGCCGGCGGCCTTTACTGCCGGCGGCCTTTACTGCCGGAGGCCATTACTGCCGGAGGCCATTACTGCCGGAGGCCATTACTGCCGGCGGCCATTACTGTCGGCGGCCATTACTGCCGGCGGCCATTACTGCCGGCGGCCATTACTGCCGGAGGCCATTACTGCCGGCGGCCATTACTGCCGGAGGCCATTACTGCCGGCGGCAATTACTGCCGGCGGCCATTACTGCCGGCGGCCTTTACTGCCGGCGGCCATTACTGCCGGCGGCCATTACTGCCGGCGGCCATTACTGCCGGCGGCCATTACTGCCGGAGGCCATTACTGCCGGCGGCCATTACTGCCGGCGGCCTTTACTGCCGGAGGCCATTACTGCCGGCGGCCATTACTGCCGGAGGCCATTACTGCCGGCGGCCATTACTGCAGGCGGCCATTACTGCCGGAGGCCATTACTGCCGGCGGCCATTACTGCCGGCGGCCATTACTGCCACGGCCATTACTGCCGGATGCCTTTACTGCCGGCGGCCTTTACTGCCGGATGCCTTTACTGCCGGAGGCCATTACTGCCGGAGGCCATTACTGCCGGAGGCCATTACTGCCGGAGGCCATTACTGCCGGCGGCCTTTACTGCCGGCGGCCTTTACTGCCGGCGGCCATTACTGCCGGCGGCCATTACTGCCGGAGGCCTTTACTGCCGGAGGCCTTTACTGCCACGGCCATTACTGCCGGAGGCCAATACTGCCACAGCCATTACTGCCGGCGGCCATTACTGCCGGCGGCCATTACTGCCGGAGGCCATTACTGCCGGCGGCCATTACTGCCGGCGGCCATTACTGCCGGCGGCCATTACTGCCGGAGGCATTACTGCCGGAGGCATTACTGCCGGAGGCCATTACTGCCGGAGGCCATTACTGCCGGAGGCCATTACTGCCGGAGGCCATTACTGCCGGCGGCCATTACTGCCGGAGGCCATTACTGCCGGAGGCCTTTACTGCCGGAGGCCTTTACTGCCGGAGGCCATTACTGCCGGCGGCCATTACTGCCGGAGGCCATTACTGCCGGAGGCCATTACTGCCGGAGGCATTACTGCCGGAGGCCATTACTGCCGGAGGCCATTACTGCCGGAGGCCATTACTGCCGGCGGCCATTACTGCCGGAGGCCATTACTGCCGGAGGCCATTACTGCCGGAGGCCATTACTGCCGGAGGCCATTACTGCCGGCGGCCATTACTGCCGGAGGCCATTACTGCCGGCGGCCTTTACTGCCGGCGGCCTTTACTGCCGGCGGCCATTACTGCCGGCGGCCATTACTGCCGGAGGCCTTTACTGCCGGAGGCCTTTACTGCCACGGCCATTACTGCCGGCGGCCATTACTGCCGGAGGCCATTACTGCCGGCGGCCATTACTGCCGGCGGCCATTACTGCCGGCGGCCATTACTGCCGGAGGCATTACTGCCGGAGGCCATTACTGCCGGAGGCCATTACTGCCGGAGGCCATTACTGCCGGCGGCCATTACTGCCGGAGGCCATTACTGCCGGAGGCCTTTACTGCCGGAGGCCTTTACTGCCGGAGGCCATTACTGCCGGCGGCCATTACTGCCGGAGGCCATTACTGCCGGCGGCCATTACTGCCGGAGGCCATTACTGCCGGAGGCATTACTGCCGGAGGCCATTACTGCCGGAGGCCATTACTGCCGGAGGCCTTTACTGCCGGAGGCCATTACTGCCGGAGGCCATTACTGCCGGAGGCCATTACTGCCGGAGGCCATTACTGCCGGAGGCCATTACTGCCGGCGGCCATTACTGCCGGAGGCCTTTACTGCCGGAGGCCATTACTGCCGGAGGCCATTACTGCCACGGCCATTACTGCCGGCGGCCATTACTGCCGGCGGCCATTACTGCCGGCGGCCATTACTGCCGGAGGCCATTACTGCCGGAGGCCATTACTGCCGGAGGCCATTACTGCCGGCGGCCATTACTGCCACAGCCATTACTGCCGGCGGCCATTACTGCAAACAATCCAAACTATTCTCACGCCATGACAGGCAGATCTGTCATGTCACAATTTTGATAAAAATTTACTCCAATTAAAATTTTATGGACTGAATTTTTATTCCATTATTGATTAAAAGAAAAACATGTTTGTTTGAAAAAGAGGTTTTGAAAGAATCTATGCAGTAATTTAAACCTTTTATTTTTGTACGGATACTAATTTAAGGGTGGAAAAACTTCAGTTTGGTCTTTTTTATAAATAAAATGGAGGGCGACACAGATGTATAACTGGTTGATGATAAGGATTGTGCTTCTGGTGCAGGCGGGTCTTTATGTGGTCAGACAGATCAACAAACCCAGCGGCCATATTTACTCAGAAACCAGGACGTTTTCCTGATCTCTGCTGAATCTGGACTATGAACAGATTTACGTCACAGTTTGTCTCACCGACTCCAAAGAACAGCGGGCAGGTGAAGATGGCAGTCAAGGGGCCGGCGCACGGCACCAGCATGGGCAGCATGCAGGCTCTGAACACCAGCTCCTCCGTCAGCGGCGCCACCACCTGGTTCCTCAGCCAGCGCATGTCGCTGAAGCACAGCGTCCAGAAGCAGGGGTCTGGGGGGGAGGGGGGTTATTAACGTTATTAAAGTACAATCCTGTCAAACAGCAGCAATAAACCAGAGTTCTTAGAAGCAGCTGCAACCAAAAAACGCTTCAGATGGTCTTTTATCATTAGTAACTAATTATAATTAGTAACTATCTTTAGTAACTAATTAGTAACTAATCCTGCAGCAGGTTTAATGCTTTGATACCAGAACCAACAGGAAGAACATGCAGCCACTGTCACCAAAATAAAAGCCTCCAAACCTTCAGAATAAATTATATCCCAAAAAGATGTAGAGCTTCTAGTTTAGCAGACTGTAGATTAACTCACGTATTCTAATCAGAATCTGAGTTTAAAAAACAGTGAAATATTCAAATGTGCTTTATTTTGAAAAAAAAAAAAAAAACAACCCCAGCACTTCCTGCAGTGCAGCTAACAGGTGGCTAAAGCTAGCTGCTCTGAGCAGAGAAGGACGCCTGGTTAGAGACAACCTGGTGACTTTATGCTGAGTTCAGGGACTTGCAGTGAAAGCAGCAATCGTCCCATTTTTACTGCTTCCCTCAGCGCCGTCTGTCAGGCAGCTCAGGGTTCTGCCTTGACTCAGAGCAGAGAGAGCAGAGGAGACCTGCTGAGGTTAGACTGAAGCTGCTAATGATTCAGGCCTGAATTACAAAGCAGGATAGAAATATTACGGAAATATTCTTATAATCTGGGTTTGCATTAAAATATTTAGCTGATCATCGCTCCGCCTGGATCACAGACGCTCCGCTAATCCCGGTGACTACGTCTGTCTGGTTAAATTAGACGCCTGCAGGGAGGATTCAAGGAACAGAGAAATCGTTGTGGACTATTTCATAAAGGAAGGTTAACTTATGTCGCATTTTAACATCAGATATTTAGTTAATTATAATAGTTTCCCACCGACCAATGAGAACGAAGGGCGTATCTTTGATTTGCCTCTGATTGTGTTCAGGATGATGGAGCTCCAGCCTCAGGCTGCTCTGCAGAGACGAAGGTCTGCAGGTTTCCTCCAACATCAGTCTGTTTACAGACCAAAGACTGAGGGCTGCTGACTGAGCGCTGAGATGAACTACTTCAGGTTTTCAGGTCTGCAGGAACTGTTCCTGTTTAGTTTCTGCTGTGAACTTTGACCCTGGATCTGGTTTTAATGTTTGTTTGATGCCAAACTGAAGCTTCCAGGCGTCTGAAGTTAAGACTTGATCCTAGTTTAGAAGCAGCAAATGATACTTGCTTGCTGCGCTAACATGACACGCTAAGATGATGCACTAACATGATGACCTAAAATGCTAGGCTAACATGCTGGACTAGCATGCAGCACTAACATGCAGCGTGAGCATGGTGTGCTAACATGCTGCATTAGCATGGTGTATTAACATGCAGCGTGAGCATGGTGTGCTAACATGCAGCGTGAGCATGGTGTGCTAACATGCAGCGTGAGCATGGTGTGCTAACATGCAGCGTGAGCATGGTGTGCTAACATGCTGCATTAGCATGGTGTGCTAACATGCAGCGCGAGCATGGTGTGCTAACATGCAGCGCGAGCATGGTGTGCTAACATGCTGCATGAGAATGGTGTGCTAACATGCTGCACTAACATGGTGTGCTAACATGCTGCTGGAGCATGGTGTGCTAACATGCTGCATTAGCATGGTGTGCTAACATGCAGCGCGAGCATGGTGTGCTACCATGCAGCGCGAGCATGGTGTGCTAACATGCAGCGTGAGCATGGTGTGCTAACATGCTGCATGAGAATGGTGTGCTAACATGCTGCACTAACATGGTGTGCTAACATGCTGCTGGAGCATGGTGTGCTAACATGCTGCTGGAGCATGGTGTGCTAACATGCTGCGCGAGAATGGCGTGCTAACATGCTGCGCGAGAATGGTGTGCTAACATGCTGCTGGAGCATGGTGTGCTATAATGCTGCACTAACATGGTGTGCTAACATGCTGCACTAGCATGGTTTGCTAACATGCTGCATTAGCATGGTGTGCTAACATGCAGCTCGAGCATGGTGTGCTAACATGCAGCTCGAGCATGGTGTGCTAACATGCAGCGCGAGCATGGTGTGCTAACATGCAGCGCGAGCATGGTGTGCTAACATGCTGCATTAGCATGGTGTGCTGACATGCTGCATTAGCATGGTGTGCTAACATCCTGCATTAGCATGGTGTGCTAACATGCAGCGTGAGCATGGTGTGCTAACATGCAGCGCGAGCATGGTGTGCTAACATGCTGCGTGAGCATGATGTGCTAACATGCAGCGTGAGCATTATGTGCTAACATGTTTCACAAGAATGGTGTGCTAACATGCTGCTGGAGCATGGTGTGCTAACATTCGCACTAGCATGCCTCACTAACATGGTGTGCTAACATGCAGCGTGAGCATGGTGTGCTAACATGCTGCACTAGCATGCCTCACTAACATGGTGTGCTAACATGCAGCGGGAGCATGGTGTGCTATCATGCTGTACTAACATGGTGTGCTAACATGCTGCGTGAGCATGGTGTGCCAACATGCAGCGTGAGCATGGTGTGCTAACATGCTGCACTAGCATGCCTCACTAACATGGTGCGCTAACATGCAGCGGGAGCATGGTGTGCTAACATGCTGCGTGAGCATGGTGTGCTAACATGCTGCGTGAGCATGGTGTGCTAACATACTGCGTGAGCATGGTGTGCTAACATGCAGCGTGAGCATTATGTGCTAACATGTTTCACAAGAATGGTGTGCTAACATGCTGCGCGAGAATGGTGTGCTAACATGCAGCTGGAGAATGGTGTGCTAACATGCAGCGCGAGCATGGTGTGCTAACATGCTGCATGAGAATGGTGTGCTAACATGCTGCACTAACATGGTGTGCTAACATGCTGCTGGAGCATGGTGTGCTAACATGCTGCATTAGCATGGTGTGCTAACATGCAGCGCGAGCATGGTGTGCTACCATGCAGCGCGAGCATGGTGTGCTAACATGCAGCGCGAGCATGGTGTGCTAACATGCAGCGCCAGCATGGTGTGCTAACATGCTGCATGAGAATGGTGTGCTAACATGCTGCACTAGCATGGTGTGCTAACATGCTGCTGGAGCATGGTGTGCTAACATGCTGCTGGAGCATGGTGTGCTAACATGCTGCGCGAGAATGGCGTGCTAACATGCTGCGCGAGAATGGTGTGCTAACATGCTGCGCGAGAATGGTGTGCTAACATGCTGCTGGAGCATGGTGTGCTATAATGCTGCACTAACATGGTGTGCTAACATGCTGCACTAGCATGGTTTGCCAACATGCTGCATTAGCATGGTGTGCTAACATGCAGCTCGAGCATGGTGTGCTAACATGCAGCTCGAGCATGGTGTGCTAACATGCTGCATTAGCATGGTGTGCTAACATGCAGCGCGAGCATGGTGTGCTACCATGCAGCGCGAGCATGGTGTGCTAACATGCAGCGCGAGCATGGTGTGCTAACATGCTGCATGAGAATGGTGTGCTAACATGCTGCACTAACATGGTGTGCTAACATGCTGCTGGAGCATGGTGTGCTAACATGCTGCTGGAGCATGGTGTGCTAACATGCTGCGCGAGAATGGCGTGCTAACATGCTGCGCGAGAATGGTGTGCTAACATGCTGCTGGAGCATGGTGTGCTATAATGCTGCACTAACATGGTGTGCTAACATGCTGCACTAGCATGGTTTGCTAACATGCTGCATTAGCATGGTGTGCTAACATGCAGCTCGAGCATGGTGTGCTAACATGCAGCTCGAGCATGGTGTGCTAACATGCAGCTCGAGCATGGTGTGCTAACATGCAGCGCGAGCATGGTGTGCTAACATGCTGCATTAGCATGGTGTGCTAACATCCTGCATTAGCATGGTGTGCTAACATGCAGCGTGAGCATGGTGTGCTAACATGCAGCGCGAGCATGGTGTGCTAACATGCTGCGTGAGCATGATGTGCTAACATGCAGCGTGAGCATTATGTGCTAACATGTTTCACAAGAATGGTGTGCTAACATGCTGCTGGAGCATGGTGTGCTAACATGCAGCGTGAGCATTATGTGCTAACATACTTCGCGAGAATGGTGTGCTAACATGCTGCGCGAGAATGGTGTGCTAACATGCTGCTGGAGCATGGTGTGCTAACATTCGCACTAGCATGCCTCACTAACATGGTGTGCTAACATGCAGCGTGAATATGGTGTGCTAACATGCTGCACTAGCATGCCTCACTAACATGGTGTGCTAACATGCAGCGGGAGCATGGTGTGCTATCATGCTGTACTAACATGGTGTGCTAACATGCTGCGTGAGCATGGTGTGCCAACATGCAGCGTGAGCATGGTGTGCTAACATGCTGCACTAGCATGCCTCACTAACATGGTGTGCTAACATGCAGCGGGAGCATGGTGTGCTAACATGCTGCGTGAGCATGGTGTGCTAACATGCTGCGTGAGCATGGTGTGCTAACATACTGCGTGAGCATGGTGTGCTAACATGCAGCGTGAGCATTATGTGCTAACATGTTTCACAAGAATGGTGTGCTAACATGCTGCGCGAGAATGGTGTGCTAACATGCAGCTGGAGAATGGTGTGCTAACATGCAGCGCGAGCATGGTGTAATAACATGCTGCATGAGAATGGTGTGCTAACATGCTGCACTAACATGGTGTGCTAACATGCTGCTGGAGCATGGTGTGCTAACATGCTGCATTAGCATGGTGTGCTAACATGCAGCGCGAGCATGGTGTGCTACCATGCAGCGCGAGCATGGTGTGCTAACATGCAGCGCGAGCATGGTGTGCTAACATGCAGCGCCAGCATGGTGTGCTAACATGCTGCATGAGAATGGTGTGCTAACATGCTGCACTAACATGGTGTGCTAACATGCTGCTGGAGCATGGTGTGCTAACATGCTGCTGGAGCATGGTGTGCTAACATGCTGCGCGAGAATGGCGTGCTAACATGCTGCGCGAGAATGGTGTGCTAACATGCTGCTGGAGCATGGTGTGCTATAATGCTGCACTAACATGGTGTGCTAACATGCTGCACTAGCATGGTTTGCTAACATGCTGCATTAGCATGGTGTGCTAACATGCAGCTCGAGCATGGTGTGCTAACATGCAGCTCGAGCATGGTGTGCTAACATGCAGCTCGAGCATGGTGTGCTAACATGCAGCGCGAGCATGGTGTGCTAACATGCTGCATTAGCATGGTGTGCTGACATGCTGCATTAGCATGGTGTGCTAACATCCTGCATTAGCATGATGTGCTAAAATGCAGCGTGAGCATGGTGTGCTAACATGCAGCGCGAGCATGGTGTGCTAATATGCTGCGTGAGCATGATGTGCTAACATGCAGCGTGAGCATTATGTGCTAACATGTTTCACAAGAATGGTGTGCTAACATGCTGCTGGAGCATGGTGTGCTAACATGCAGCGTGAGCATTATGTGCTAACATGTTTCACAAGAATGGTGTGCTAACATGCTGCTGGAGCATGGTGTGCTAACATGCAGCGTGAGCATTATGTGCTAACATACTTCGCGAGAATGGTGTGCTAACATGCTGCGCGAGAATGGTGTGCTAACATGCTGCTGGAGCATGGTGTGCTAACATTCGCACTAGCATGCCTCACTAACATGGTGTGCTAACATGCAGCGGGAGCATGGTGTGCTATCATGCTGTACTAACATGGTGTGCTAACATGCTGCGTGAGCATGGTGTGCCAACATGCAGCGTGAGCATGGTGTGCTAACATGCTGCACTAGCATGCCTCACTAACATGGTGTGCTAACATGCAGCGGGAGCATGGTGTGCTAACATGCTGCGTGAGCATGGTGTGCTAACATGCTGCGTGAGCATGGTGTGCTAACATACTGCGTGAGCATGATGTGCTAACATGCAGCGTGAGCATTATGTGCTAACATGTTTCACAAGAATGGTGTGCTAACATGCTGCGCGAGAATGGTGTGCTAACATGCAGCTGGAGCATGGTGTGCTAACATGCAGCGTGAGCATTATGTGCTAACATACTTCGCGAGAATGGTGTGCTAACATGCTGCGCGAGAATGGTGTGCTAACATGCTGCTGGAGCATGGTGTGCTAACATTTGCACTAGCATGCCTCACTAACATGGTGTGCTAACATGCAGCGTGAGCATGGTGTGCTAACATGCTGCACTAGCATGCCTCACTAACATGGTGTGCTAACATGCAGCGGGAGCATGGTGTGCTATCATGCTGTACTAACATGGTGTGCTAACATGCAGCGTGAGCATGGTGTGCTAACATGCAGCGTGAGCATGGTGTGCTAACATGCAGCGCGAGCATGGTGTGCTAACATGCAGCGCGAGCATGGTGTGCTAACACGCAGCGTCAGCATGGTGTGCTAACATGCTGCGTGAGCATGGTGTGCTAACACGCAGCGTGAGCATGGTGTACTAACATGCCGCACTAACATGGTGTGCTAAGATTCCGGGCTAACATGCTGCACTAACATGGTGTGCTAAGATTCCGGGCTAACATGCTGCACTAGCATGGTGTGCTAACACGCAGCGTGAGCATGGTGTGCTAACATGCTGCGTGAGCATGGTGTGCTAACACGCAGCGTGAGCATGGTGTACTAACATGCCGCACTATCATGGTGTGCTAAGATTCCGGGCTAACATGCTGCACTAACATGGTGTGCTAAGATTCCGGGCTAACATGCTGCATGTGCATGGTGTGCTAACATGCAGCGTGTGCATGGTGTGCTAGCATGCTGCACTAACATGGTGTGCTAGCATGCTGCACTAACATGGTGTGCTAAGATTCCGGGCTAACATGCTGCACTAACATGGTGTGCTAAGATTCCGGGCTAACATGCTGCATGTGCATGGTGTGCTAACATGCAGCGTGTGCATGGTGTGCTAGCATGCTGCACTAACATGGTGTGCTAGCATGCTGCACTAACATGGTGTGCTAAGATTCCGGGCTAACATGCTGCATGTGCATGGTGTGCTAGCATGCTGCACTAACATGGTGTGCTAAGATTCCGGGCTAACATGCAGCGTGTGCATGGTGTGCTAGCATGCTGCACTAACATGGTGTGCTAAGATTCCGAGCTAACATGCTGCTATAACACACTGCTGCAGCTCTGTTGTGTTTTCTCCTTAAATTGGTGGATTAAAGTTTCCAAAAACAGAAGAAGAGGATGAAGAACCAGAATCTCCATGACTCACCGAGCGCCACGCCGATCCCGTCCATCAAGCTCCAGGGACAGTCCATGGCGAGCTGCATGAGCGGGCCGAGAAACAGGACCTACAGAACCGCAGGAGTTCAGTTTGATACACAGAATAACAGACTGGATCATTTCTACGAACCGAGTCGGATCTGAAAACAGGTCTGAAGGAAATAGAAAAAATTTAAACTGCTTTAATGTAAGACACCAAAGACCTGTTTAAGTTTCTTTTAAAAACAACCATTAAAGCTGTTTACAGGGAGAAAAGTCAGTCTAATTAATAAACCACATGTTCCATTAAACTGTAAAACACAACATTAAATAATAAAATTAAATCCAATTTAATAAATATTTTCAAATAAATGTAAATTAAATGCTAACGACATGCTAGCAGCAATGCTAGCTGAACCGCTGCCTTCAGCTAAAGCCGCTAAACCACCTCCTTCTCTGAGGTTAGTGAGCAGGTAAACCTGCGTCTCCTCTGACTTCAGAAAGTATCCTACTTTCCTTTTTTTAACTGGAGGGCGTCCTCCATTTTAGCCACAGATTAACTTTGATATCTGCTTATTTCTAACATTCAGCTTCAGATCAAACAAACATTTAAAGACAAAGAAGTCTTTTTTTATTTTTTTAAGGTTTTTTTCTTTGATTTGAGCCACTTAGACTATTAACCAACAAAATATCATGATTATGGGTTAAAACAAGAAAAAAAGCTGCTTTCATGCATCTAACGAGCATTGAATCAACCGTATTTTCAGGACTATAGAGCGCACCTCATTTTGAGCCACACCGGGCTACAAAGCCTGGTTTATGCTCACAAACCAGGTTGTCTGCGTGTGTCGCAGTGAACTCAAATAAATAAATAAAGTTTGCAAGCTTTTTGGTTGTGGGAAAGGAAATGATTCTGACATTTAAATATGATGATTTCCCATGGATTTAAGCCGCTGATATCTACTGAACTGTTTCCCACCCAACCTATAGGGGGAGCTGTACATATAGGCCCTGGAGTTGCTAGCTCCTGTTAGCTTGTTAGCTGGCAGCAGTTAGAGCTTCTCCTGAAAGTTGGAGCTCTTTATTTCAGCTCAGCAGGAGTTGATCTCAGTCTCTTCATTGGTTCAGCAGCTTTAATGCAGCAATTAATGCCCTGCTGCATTTATTAGCATGTTGAGCTAAAAGAAAATTAGCCTCTTTCATTTCTAACATTGACCTCCTCCCTCTGGCTGTTGGGAAAAATCCCCAGAAAAGCTGCAGCGTCTAAAAATAAACCGCATGGATCATAAGCGTGGGAAAAAAGCAGCGGCTCATAGTCTGGAAATCATCATACGGTAATCATCTGATTTCATTAGCAGATCCATCATTAAAGGCAAATACTTTATTTTTAGATGAGTTAAGATTAGATTTAATTTCTCACAGACCAGCGGCCATCAGGATGATGCAACATTTGACTTTAAACCAGAGCTGATTACAGTTACCGTATTTTCACGACCATAAGGCGCACCGGACTAAAAGGCGCGTTTTTTATATACAGGTACATGTCCTCTACTACCTTTAAATAGCTCTACTGCGTATTTAAAAATACAGCGGGGGCAAAACTGAGTATGACTGTGCTTTATTCATGTATTTATTACAAAGTATTAATCAAACCTGGGAGCTGGCCGTGAGACAGACACATCGCAGATGACACAGCGCTGTGATCACTCCTAAATTAACTTAAAATCCTGAAACCTGCTGACGGAATATGTTCGCTTTTATTGCCGGTATCCTGGTGCCTGCAGCTAAAATTATTTAGATGAAAAACACCTGCCAGCCGCCGCGGTGAACGAAAGGATTTCTGCTGTCGGCGCACCGCTGGTATGTGGGGGTCTGAGCGCCTCCGACAGAAATAGATAATCTGGATGAACTGACTGCAATTATTAAGTTTTCAGGTGGACTTTCTCACTTAAAAACATATTAAAACTACTTTATTCCCACTGATCACAGCAAATATAGCTGCAAGATTTAGATTATTTAGATGAAAAAACACCTGCCAGCCACCGCGGTGAAGAGGAGGAGACCCGCCCAGAGGCTGCTGTTGAGTTAAGTTTTCAGGTAGAAAAATAGAGCAGGAGCAAACCTGAGTATGATTGTGCTTTATTCATGTATTTATTACAAAGTATTAATCAAACCCATCAAAGTCATCATCCTCTGTTTCTGAATTAAACAGCTGCGCTAAATCAGACATGACAGTTTCCCCTTCTTCGCTGTCAGTCACTTTCCGTGCAGCGCGGCTCCTCAGAAATAATGCCGGCTTTTGCAAAAGCTTGAACAGCAGAGCCAGCAGACACGTTAGTCCAAGCATCTACAATCCATCCGCAAACGGTGGCGTAACTTGCCCGGCGCTGCCTTCCACTTATCCTGAAACTGTGGTCTCCGTCTGTCATCCATCGCTCCCACGCCGCTCGCAGCCTTACTTTGAACGGCCGCTTCACACCGATGTCGAGCGGTGGAAGTTCCTTTGTCAGACCCCCGGGATAACGGCGAGCACAGCGTTCATTTGATTCACCTTTTTTTCACATCGGCTGTGAGATGGGCACGCAGCGATGGTGATGCGTGGAAAAAAACACCTGGTCTCCTCACATACACCTGCCTCAGCCACGCATCCACCCAGCCTTTTTCATCTAATATCATATGTCATCAGAGCGCTGTGTCTGTCTCGCTGTCAGCTCCCAGATCAGCTTCTCTGATTGGTTGATGCGGCGCGTCCAGCAGCAAAACTTCAATTTTTCCATCTGAGCAGCAGCAGCGCGTTGGCAGATGCTTAAACGCGCTTGCTGCTCAAAACGCGCTGCGGGACCTTTTGCTGCGCCTATACGCGCGTCAACCATTGACTTTGCATGTAAACTCGCTGCTTCTGCTGCACCTGCTGCGTCCGGTTCACACCGATGTCGAGCGGTTGAACAGCGAGCACAGGGTTAATTTGTTTCCCCATGTTTTCCACATCAGCTGTGAGATGGGCACGCATGGAGTTACATATTAACAGCGGATGGTGAGGGGTGGAAAAAAACACCTGGTCTCCTTACATTCAGCCACTCTTTCATCATCTCCTCAATGAGGTGGTCTCAAAAGTCGCAGTTACAACACACATAGGGCGCACCGCACCATAGGGCGCACCGCACATTTTGAGGAAAAAAAAAGACGTTTAAGTGCGCCTTATAGTCGTGAAAATACGGTACTTTCATTACAAGAAAACAAAAAACTAATAAAACTCAGGATTGTTTTAAATCTAACCAGCATTTAAATTCTTGTTTCTTTTCAACGACTCACTAAATGAATGAAGTTCACTATGATAAAAGGTGAATATTTTAGTGTTTTGGACGAACAAAGCAAACGGAGCAGGAAGTAGGCGGGGACCTTCTCACCATGGTGAGCAGCAGAGGAAGGACGATGGCAGGGATGAAACCTTCCAGCCGGATCCCCAGGAGAGAAAACAGCGGCGCTGCAGTCTGAGGAGCAAACATGGGAGACTGACGCTGAGCACAGAGCTATGATGCATAGATTTTAACCAACAGGATGTATGTATATAATAAATATGCACATATTTATCTAATTATAATCCATTTCTACAGTTTCTGCTGCCCAGCATCATGATGAGGGATAATAAGGCGCATTTAGTGACGCGTTTCCAAAGAACCTGACGTTGGAAGATCTGAGCTTTTACAGCTCGGCGCGTCGACCAATCAGAGGCTGATCTGGAGCTTCCAGGCTGTGATCTCTGCTCCCACAGAGCCGTCAGCAGAAAACCATCAAAATTAGTGACATAAAAAGCTGTGAGAATGAATGTTTATGTTGGTGGAACAGTGAGAGCGCTCCGATCACTTCACTGGACGGTATATTCTGCTTTTAATTCACATCTAACGCTTCTATTCCCTTCCAGCAGCTAAGAACAGTGAATCCCCTCTCATTGGTCGGTCTGAGGACGCTGTGATTACTTTTTCTTTCATTTCTGTCTCTGGGAACCAAGAACTGAAACAATTTTCCACATTTGAAAGATGAGGAAAAGTTGTTAAAAATAGATTAAACCGAACTTCCTGAGTCTGAGTCTGTGCAGCTTCTGAAACCAGAAGTCCGTCCTCGTGTTCTATTCACTAAAACACGAGGACGGACTTGTTTCCTCGCCAAGTCTGTTCTTGACTAGAACCCAGGAAAGCCTAGACTCTTGGAGAACGGGAGCACGCAGCATAAACCTGGGTCAACTGGAACAGAAGCGTACTGATGACATCACCACATTCAAAGCTCGTATGGAGCTGCATTTCACCTCCTGTTATTAATATTCTCTAGATAATAATAAATTATGACTTTTCTCGTTTATTGGGGGAATAATGATGAACACAGTCAGATTTTTTTGCCAAATAAAACAATCAAACATCCATCAGAACCAGCGGTCATTCACACACGGCTATACAGAGAGAGGGCTGCTGCAGACAGCTAACGTTAGCCCTCCCTGGCCGCTGCAGACGGGCTAACGTTAGCAGTCCCTGGCCGCTGCAGACGGGCTAACGTTAGCCCTCCCTGGCCGCTGCAGACGGGCTAACGTTAGCCCTCCCTGGCCGCTGCAGACGGGCTAACGTTAGCCCTCCCTGGCCACTGCAGACGGGCTAACGTTAGCCCTCCCTGGCCGCTGCAGACGGGCTAACGTTAGCCCTCCCTGGCCGCTGCAGACGGGCTAACGTTAGCCCTCCCTGGCCGCTGCAGACGGGCTAACGTTAGCCCTCCCTGGCCGCTGCAGACGGGCTAACGTTAGCCCTCCCTGGCCTCTGCAGACGGGCACAGTTAGCCCTCCCTGGCCGCTGCAGACGGGCTAACGTTAGCACTCCCTGGCCGCTGCAGACGGGCTAACGTTAGCCCTCCCTGGCCGCTGCAGACGGGCTAACGTTAGCCCTCCCTGGCCGCTGCAGACGGGCTAACGTTAGCCCTCCCTGGCCGCTGCAGACGGGCTAACGTTAGCCCTCCCTGGCCGCTGCAGACGGGCTAACGTTGGCCCTCCCTGGCCGCTGCAGACGGGCTAACGTTAGCCCTCCCTGGCCGCTGCAGACGGGCTAACGTTAGCCCTCCCTGGCCTTTGCAGACGGGCTAACGTTAGCCCTCCCTGGCCGCTGCAGACGGGCTAACGTTAGCCCTCCCTGGCCGCTGCAGACGGGCTAACGTTAGCCCTCCCTGGCCGCTGCAGACGGGCTAACGTTAGCCCTCCCTGGCCGCTGCAGACGGGCTAACGTTAGCCCTCCCTGGCCGCTGCAGACGGGCTAACGTTAGCCCTCCCTGGCCGCTGCAGACGGGCTAACGTTAGCCCTCCCTGGCCGCTGCAGACGGGCTAACGTTAGCCCTCCCTGGCCGCTGCAGACGGGCTAACGTTAGCCCTCCCTGGCCGCTGCAGACGGGCTAACGTTAGCCCTCCCTGGCCTTTGCAGACGGGCTAACGTTAGCCCTCCCTGGCCTTTGCAGACGGGCTAACGTTAGCCCTCCCTGGCCTTTGCAGACGGGCTAACGTTAGCCCTCCCTGGCCGCTGCAGACGGGCTAACGTTAGCCCTCCCTGGCCTTTGCAGACGGGCTAACGTTAGCCCTCCCTGGCTGCTGCAGACGGGCTAACGTTAGCCCTCCCTGGCCGCTGCAGACGGGCTAACGTTAGCCCTCCCTGGCCGCTGCAGACGGGCTAACGTTAGCCCTCCCTGGCAGCTGCAGACGGGCTAGAGTTAGCCCCGGCTGCTAACGTCTGCTGCAGATGTGCTAACATTAACTTAAATTATGTATTAAATCAGTAAATGTTCCATATAGTGAAGCTTAAAGTATAATATTTTCGTCTCTAACGATCTTAAAATGTACTTTTATTGAACAACAGCAACAGAATAGAGACATTTTTTCCCCCCTGTCCGATTAGCAGATTTTATGTTTTGTATTTTCCCTTAAAGCGGACGTGTTTAACTTTGCAATCACGTCTCTCTTCCTATTAAATCCATGAATGATGGTCCTTTGACCATCAAACAAACGACCTCGTCCAATCAGGACCTTCCAGGACAGTTAGGGTCTGTATAGTAGTGGCTATTAGGCTTTCTGTGGCTCTGCCAGCAGGTGGCGCCATTCGGCTCCTGGTGCTGGAATCTAAACCTCATCAGGACGGACGTTTGGAGTTTACGACCTGATTGTATCAGGATCAGAGAATAATAACATCAATCTGAGTCCTCAAACCATTTTTTCGGCTCATAGCAGCAAATTAATCCAAGCAGCTCTCTTCGTTGCATCTGTCGTCGTGCACAGTAAACCTTCCGCACGCGCTTCGCTAGACGCGTGGATGCCCATTTTAAAACTGAAGTTCCTGTAAAACACGGCGACATCAAAGCCAAAGTGATGCTGGGGGGTTGGATGTGAAACTCACCCTGACGGCTGTGAATTCTCTCCAGCAGCAGACAAACAGAGGCGAGAGGCCCGACACGATCAGGACGCTGGTGAAGCGCCTCTTTATCACCGCAGGATGATCCCTGCAGACAGAGAGAGGCCGTCATGGCGCCAGCTGACCACCGGGGGCAGTCCTATGAGCAGGTGATCAGCTCTATGACCTCTAACCGTGACCTCCGTCAGCAAACCTTCATCTCTCCTCCTCATCCTCACTAACGCCTCTCAGTTTCTGCTCCGTTTTACGTCCTTCACATTCTTACAGCGGAAAAACGTTTTAGAAAAACTTTTCTTTTTTTACCTGCTTAAAAATGTTAAAAGTATCGATGGATTTATTTGAAAAAAAAAAATTTCAAAATAAAAAATAACATTTCAAATTTGTTACAAAAAAAATGAAATTTAAATAAATTATAAGGAATCTGAAAAAAAAATTAAAGTTAGAATATCCATTATTTAGCTTCAGAGACATTTCTATTTCCCACGGCTCCTGAATGCAGCAGCTGGGTGTACATTATAGAGGCCCCTAAAGTGTCAGTCATCCTCCCCTGTTATCTAAGCCCCGCCCCCACACCGAGGGACCACAGTTAGAAACCTAAAAAAAAAAAAAAAAACATTTTGAAACAATTATTGTATTGCTTTTCATTTTCTTTCTTCAATTAAATTTTTTTCAGTTTTCTTTTTTTATTTCTGGTTATAATTGGTTTTCAATTAAAAAAATTATATTCATATTCCTTCTTTTCCCACTTTAAATATCATTTTCAGCTTTAACTGATTTAAATGATTTTCAGTTTCAATTTTATTCAAAGTTCTAAATTAAAAGTTTTTGACCAAACTTTACGGCTCCTCTTTAGCTCCATACAACAAATGCTATGTTTAGTTTTTTTCTTTAATAATCAAAAGATGTTTATTTTTGTTTATTTCAGACTGAAGAATCGGAATCAGCAGCAAATGTTGGGGATGATTTAGACTGAAGTCTAAATAAGAAAATAATGATTAAAAAAAACCCAAAACATGCAGATTTAAATAATTTCCTTCTTTATATATTTTTTATGATGAATATTATTGATGATGATGATGATGAAGGTACAGCTGTTAGTGGTGGGACTGACTGATGGATGTCTGGCTAACAGGAAGTAGCTGCAGACGAAGACCAGGGTCTGAAATGTCTGAATTAAACTTTAACTGAATTTAATCCAGAGGAATGAGGGACAAATCTATGGGGAGAAATTTAATCCAAAGTTTCTGAAAACAAAGAAAAGGTTCCACTGAAAATGGACATTAAAAAAACAAAAAAAATGACGTGATGGTAATTTACTGTGTATAAAAACGTTCAGCTAATATTTTATAGTTTTCTTTTTCTTTCGTTTTCTTGGGGAGACTCAGCTGTTTGAATTTCATTCTTTTCAAATCTGGATTTTACAACTATTACCCAACATATCTTACATATTCCATTAACTTCTGGCTAAAACAGGATTAATACAGGTCCGTTTCCAGACCAATAGAAATTAGTCTGCTCTATTCCTTTGGTCTGCGCAAATAATATGGAGAGAAAAAGCAAACTGCAGAAATACTAATTAGATTTTATACACACATTATTATGACAACGTTTTAGGTCTGTTCAAAGACGGGGAAAAAATAAGGAATGTACATTTTTGAGTTTAAAGAGAGCATTTTTACCAGAATAAACCTGCAAATTTACGATTTAAAATGAATAAATTTACCAAATTAAAACATCCAAATGTAGGTGAAAAAGTAGCAAATTGATCAGAAATAAATATGCAAATTTAGGAGAAAAAATTTGCAAATTTGCGCGATTTAAATATGTAGATTAGTGGAAGAATGCAAGTTTATAATACACGTTACAGTACGCTGCATAAAGCACATGGCTTGAATGAGACGCCTCATGGACGTTTGTAACGTTAAATAATACAATAAATTTGCATCTTTATGAACTTTTGTACAGTTGCATTTTCTCTTCTGATTTTACCTATTTAATCTCCTACATTTCCTGCTTGTTTCCTTCTACATGTGCATCTTTATTATCTTGTAAATGTGTTTTCACTCATAAATATGCCTGTTTATTGCGGTAAATATAACTTTAAACTCAAAAATCGTACCTAATACGCTGTCGCACATTAATAAGCACATAACTTTTTATATATGTAGAGAAATTTTACATTGTTTAAATACAATTTCTGCATTTTTTAAAACGCGCTTCCAGCTTTTAATATTGGAACAAATTTCTCTCCATATTAACCGGTTTTTCCAGATTTTATTTCCTCCATCCAAAGTGAGGCTAAAATAAAGGCTGGAAACTAAAACATAAATAAAGTTTGTTAGAGCAGAGGTTGTAGAAAGAGAAATAAAGGATTTGAATGTTTAATCTGACCTGGGCAGGTCGCTCCTCCACACATACAGGCTGCCAACATAGGAGCAGGCGAGCAGCAGGCAGGACAGCACCGACAGCCAGCACAGGCCGCCTCCAGCCGCCTCCAGCCGCCCCGTCAGACCGCCGCCCTCCTCCGCCATGATGGCTCACTGAGCTGAAGAAGGAGCTGACCGCTGGACCATCGGACGCGGACAGACATCAGCAGGAGAACCGGTGTAGGTACCAGATTGACTCGGGCTGCCAGATTGACTCGGGGGCCTGCGCCTTTTGATGACGTCACAATACATAATTGTTTTAACGTTTGCACAATTGCGCAAAACATTTTGATTGGTCTGGACAGCTTACTAAAGTAATTATAGCGGGGTGTAGGTTTTATTCGAAAGCGGGATTGCTGTTTGTAAACGGACAATTTTACGAAGACATTCTCCATGGTCCCTGCGCCTTCTGATGACGTCACCGAATTCGCCATGGGCCTTGCGCCTCCCGATGACGTGACATTATGGCAATGCCACTCAAACAAACTACATTGAGCCCGCGGTCTGCATTTGTAACGAGAATAAATTCAGGAGAATGAAGCTAAAGGGATACAAAAAATAAACTTGTAATATTACAAAACCAAAAATACTACGAATACAAAGTATATTCAGAGATTAAAGTCCCTCTGATACTGTTTAAGTGACTGAGAAACTGCAGATTTGCCACATTTAAGATGGCGGACGCTCTGACGCATCTCAAAAGGCGCAGGCCCCCGAGTCAGCGGCGCTTCCTGACTGCGTCATTATTAGCCGCCTCTCATGGAACCGCCGGCAGAGGTAAACACTGCCCCCTACCGGACCGGAGTTCACACTTAATAAATAGCCTAATAATCAGTCTAATCCTTATTTCTGGTTAATTTTATCTTCATTAATGTAGAATTTCATCATCTTCACCTTTTTTTTTTACAGTTTTGATGAAAAAAAAACAACTTTATTTACAAATTTAAAGAGTAAAAAAAAAGGCTGTAAGCACATTGAATGTAGATTATTGAATATTTTTATATTTTTCATTTCTGTAACATCAGTTTTATTGTTTTTCTTTTTTGGTTTTGTTATTTTTATCTTTTTGTATCAATGCACTCTGTAGAAATATATAATCCTGGAATACTTGAATATTTTGTGCCCTCTCCCTTGCTTTTTCTTTTCTTTGTCTTTATATATATATATATATATATATAGTTTTATTATATAGTTTATTATATAGTTTTATTATTCTTCTCTTTATTATTTTTTATTATTCTATCATTCTTCAGCTTGTTGGTCAGGAGAAAACATGACACTCTGCAGGGCCAGGTGTTTGGTGTATGGCAGGTCATATTGTCATAAAAACAACATAAACTCACTTTGCAGCCAAACATGGAGCCATTAGAAGAAAGTTAGACGGGTCAACATGTCGTCTGCCAGCTGTTTGGATCCTCTGACTGTGTTTAGAAGAACCTGTTAAACGTTTACATTTTAATCAAGATATCAGAATATTGTGATGAAATCTACCTGAACTCAGGTCACATCTGAGGAGGCGGATCTATGTCAGCAGAAACATGGGGTTCACTGAGTGCTGCTATAGGTAGAAAAATCTAATATTCATGGTGACATGAACGGATTCCACTGGCGGGTGTCATTCATTCATTCATTCATTCATTCAGTCATTCATTCATGTATTTGTTTATTCATGAATTCATCTGTTAATTAGCTAATTTGCTTGTTAATTCATTCATTTGTTCATTTATTTATTCACTTTTTTCATTCATTAATTCTTTCATTCATTCATTCGTTTGTCTAATTTCTCTATTCATTCATTCAGTTATTTGTTTATTCATTCATTTGTTCATTCAATCCTCCGTTAATTAGTTCATTCATTCGTTCTTTAATTCATTTATTTATTCACTTGTTCATTCTTTTATTGATTTATTCATTCATTTGTTCGTTAATTTGTTTATTTGTTCATTTATTTATTCATTTGTTCATTCTTTTATTCATTAATTTGTTCATTAATTCGTTTATTTGTTCATTTATTTATTCATTCTTTTATTCATTCATTCAGTTTTATTTGTTTATTCATTCATTTGTTAATTCAGTCATCCGTTAATTCGTTCATTCATGCATTTGTTTGTTAATTTATTTATTTGTTCATTTATTCCTTCATTTGTTCATTCATTCATTCTAGTCCCACTGAGGAGCCTCACTTCAATTCAATGGTTTCATTTTCAGCTGATTTTATTAGAAGTTTATTTTATTCTGAATCATTTATTTCTCTATAAATGTGTGATAAACCTTGGAAGCTCCTGATTGGTCGTCCTCTCTGTGGAATCCACAATCACAGCTCAGATTTCCACATTTAAAGCCAGTTAGGAAACTTTAACATAAATAAAATACATCAACAGAAGAAAAAAACAAAACAAATATCGATGCAGATGGATTATTTATCTTTATTAAACCTTAATTTCATAAGAAAACCCATTTAACCCAATAACAGAAATTAATGACTTTATTGCAAAGATGCAAAAAAAAAGAATCCTGGAAACAATTAAACCTTAAACAGTAGAAGGTAAAAAAATACATCAGTTATTATCGAACATACAGAGACTTTATTTTAATACGTGAGAATAAAGTCAGAACATGACAAGAATAGAGTCCTAAGACCAGGAAAGTACAGAAATAACATTATGAGAATAAAGTCTAAATAAAATAAAAGTAAAGTCATTATGTTGTAAGACAAAACAGATGAATAAAGATCATCCAAACTACAGCTGGAGATAAAAAAAGATCCTCTTCATTGATCTGCTATTATTCTGGTTTTATACAACTTTACTTTTTCCTGGAGTTTTTAAGTCTTTAATCTCCTGATGTCCACATTTCCGTCTGTTAATGTTTTATTTTAAAATGTTCCAGCTGCTTTTCTGGTAGTTTTAGCACATTTCTCTCATTTTTTTATTTATTCCTGCAAATTATCATTTATTCTCATCATTTCTGGAATTTTTTATCGTAACATTATAACTTTCCTTCGCAAAGCTATGATTTTATTTTCATTCACAGAATTTTATGACTTTATTTAGGTAATTTAACGACTTTAATCCAGCCATGTTATGATTTATTATCCTAGATTTATCTTAGATTATTTTCAAATTCCTATAACTTTAGTAACACCTCCTCAGATCCTGGTTTATTGTGTGATTTTAAATGTTACATCGCTGGATGTGCAGAATGGGAGGAAATGCTAAACAGCAATTTACACTGACCAGTGGGTTGACCAGTGCGGTGGCCAGTGGGGTGGCCAGTGGGGTGGCCAGTGGGGTGGCCAGTGGGGTGGTCAGTGGGGTGGTCAGTGGGGTGGTCAGTGGGGTGGTCAGTGGGGTGGCCAGTGGGGTGGCCAGTGGGGTGGCCAGTGGGGTGGCCAGTGGGGTGGTCAGTGGGGTGGCCAGTGGGGTGGCCAGTGGGATGGCCAGTGGGGTGGCCAGTGGGGTGGCCAGTGGGGTGGTCAGTGGGGTGGTCAGTGGGGTGGCCAGTGGGGTGGCCAGTGGGGTGGCCAGTGGGGTGGCCAGTGGGGTGGCCAGTGGGGTGGCCAGTGGGGTGGCCAGTGGGGTGGCCAGTGGGGTGGCCAGTGGGGTGGCCAGTGGGGTGGCCAGTGGGGTGGCCAGTGGGGTGGCCAGTGCGGTGGCCAGTGGGGTGGCCAGTGGGGTGTCCAGTGGGGTGGCCAGTGGGGTGGCCAGTGGGGTGGCCAGTGGGGTGTCCAGTGGGGTGGCCAGTGGGGTGTCCAGTGGGGTGTCCAGTGGGGTGGCCAGTGGGGTGTCCAGTGGGGTGTCCAGTGGGGTGGCCAGTGCGGTGGCCAGTGGGGTGGCCAGTGGGGTGTCCAGTGGGGTGGCCAGTGGGGTGGCCAGTGGGGTGGCCAGTGGGGTGTCCAGTGGGGTGTCCAGTGGGGTGGCCATTGGGGTGGCCAGTGGGATGTCCAGTGGGGTGTCCAGTGGGGTGTCCAGTGGGGTGGCCAGTGGGATGGCCAGTGGGTTGACCAGTGGGGTGGCCAGTGGGGTGTCCAGTGGGGTGTCCAGTGGGGTGTCCAGTGGGTTGACCAGTGGGGTGGCCAGTGGGGTGGCCAGTGGGGTGTCCAGTGGGGTGGCCAGTGGGGTGGCCAGTGGGATGGCCAGTGGGTTGACCAGTGGGGTGGCCAGTGGGATGTCCAGTGGGGTGGCCAGTGGGGTGGCCAGTGGGGTGGCCAGTGGGGTGTCCAGTGGGGTGGCCAGTGGGGTGGCCAGTGGGATGGCCAGTGGGTTGACCAGTGGGGTGGCCAGTGGGATGTCCAGTGGGGTGGCCAGTGGGGTGGCCAGTGGGGTGTCCAGTGGGGTGGCCAGTGGGGTGTCCAGTGGGGTGGCCAGTGGGGTGTCCAGTGGGGTGTCCAGTGGGGTGGCCAGTGGGGTGGCCAGTGGGGTGTCCAGTGGGGTGGCCAGTGGGGTGGCCAGTGGGGTGTCCAGTGGGGTGGCCAGTGGGGTGTCCAGTGGGGTGTCCAGTGGGGTGGCCAGTGGGGTGTCCAGTGGGGTGTCCAGTGGGGTGGCCAGTGGGGTGGCCAGTGGGGTGGCCAGTGGGGTGTCCAGTGGGGTGTCCAGTGGGGTGGCCAGTGGGGTGTCCAGTGGGGTGGCCAGTGGGGTGGCCAGTGGGGTGTCCAGTGGGGTGTCCAGTGGGGTGGCCAGTGGGGTGGCCAGTGGGGTGGCCAGTGGGGTGTCCAGTGGGATGGCCAGTGGGTTGACCAGTGGGGTGGCCAGTGGGGTGGCCAGTGGGGTGTCCAGTGGGGTGTCCAGTGGGGTGGCCAGTGGGATGGCCAGTGGGTTGACCAGTGGGGTGGCCAGTGGGATGTCCAGTGGGGTGGCCAGTGGGGTGGCCAGTGGGGTGGCCAGTGGGGTGTCCAGTGGGGTGGCCAGTGGGATGGCCAGTGGGGTGGCCAGTGGGGTGTCCAGTGGGGTGTCCAGTGGGGTGGCCAGTGGGGTGTCCAGTGGGGGTGGCCAGTGGGGTGGCCAGTGGGGTGTCCAGTGGGGTGTCCAGTGGGGTGGCCAGTGGGGTGGCCAGTGGGGTGGCCAGTGGGGGTGGCCAGTGGGGTGTCCAGTGGGGTGGCCAGTGGGGTGGCCAGTGGGGTGGCCAGTGGGGTGGCCAGTGGGGTGGCCAGTGGGATGGCCAGTGGGGTGGCCAGT